CCAAACTGTTTGCCTGAGGCCGCTGGGTTACTAGACAGTTTGGTTTGAGGGTCGACAAAACGCATTTTGCCCGAGGACAGAGTCAATAAATGGTTTGTTTTATCTTTTATTTTAATATTTCAATATTTAAAATACAAGAGGCCCATGGGCCACATCGCTCACCTGAGTAACTTGGGTGAAGCAGATTTTTAGCAAATTTCCCCTCTTTCTATACCTATTGTGCCCCCTTCCTAGCCCCTCACCTTACATGATTTTAATACTTTAGAATCTACACTACCCAAGGATGCTTCCAAATAACGTTCAGCTTTCCTGGCCCAGTGGTTCTTGAGAAGAAAGATTTTTAAAGATTCGTTCTATATATTTCTATGTAAAACTTGGATTCCCTATTGTGGCCCCGCCCTACCCCCAAGGGTCATGATTTTAACAATTTAATATCTACACTACCCAAGAATGCTTCCACATATTAAGGTTTCAGCTTTCCTGTTTCAGTGGTTCTTGAGAAGAAGATTTTTAAAGATTTGTTCTATATATTTCTATGTAAAGCTTTGATTGCCTATTGTAGCCCCGCCCTACCCCCGGATTTTATGATTTTTACAATTTAATATCTACACTACACAAGGATGCTTCCACATAAGTTTCAGCTTTCCTGAGGATCAGTGGTTCTTGAGAAGAAGATTTTTTAATGACCCCACCCTATTTTTGTATTTTCTTGATTATCTCCCCTTGGAAGGGGACTTGGCCCTTCATTTTAACAATTTAAACTCTCCCTTACCCAAGGATGCTTTGTACCAAGTTTGGTTAAAATTGGCCCAGTGGTTCTTGAGAAGAAGTCGAAAATGTGAAAAGTTTACAGACGGACGGACGGACGGACAGCTAGACGGACGGACGGACGACGGACAAAATGTGATCAGAAAAGCTCACTTGAGCCTTCGGCTCAGGTGAGCTCAAAATCTTGTACTGGCTTCCGTGAATGTAAATCTCAGGTTAGAAACATTCGGTACATGTAAGTAACTAAAATATAAAATGTATATAATTTTTTTTGTGCAATATCCGCGACGTTAATTCCCGTACAGAGAATCAAAGAAAGACATTTTATTGTTTATATTTACATTTATATGAAAAAAGCGTTCAAAGTAAACTTAAATTAAATAAGATAAATATTGTATTTTAGATGAATAATTATGTCATTGTGTGCATAACTTGTGGAACATCCATTTATCAAGAAACCTATTTACGTGCACGTGGCTTGCTTCGTGTCAATTATGCACTGATTAATGGCTATGATCTTCGTAAGAAATGAAGGAAAAAATATTGATTAGATGTAAATATATAATAATTATATATTTATATTGAAATATACCGTGAAAAAAAAAAGAAATCGAGAACCTGTACACTTTCGTATGCATGGGCAATAAATATACTAGTATACGTATAAATAGTCTAGACTTCTTATCATTCAGTTTTGTGTAATATTAGAATAGAAATAAATAACCTTAAAAATGAAGGTGTTTAAAAGTCTAAATGTGCACTGGAATAAACCCGGTCTTCTTTGCTATGGAAAAACCAGTTAATTATTTAAAGTCTATTATTATCATTGGTATGAAAGTCATGAAATTGCGTTCCAGATTTTAAGAAGTTTTTTTGGTGGGTATTTAATTTTTGTATTGGTGCCTGGATTTTATCTACAAAGAATTTCAACCATAAACAAATAAGAGCAAGCGTCAGTCAGTTGTGCAAGTATTTGAGCATTTATACATGTAACAGGAAGTTAATCTGAAGGTAAGAATTTGCACAATTTTTTTTTATCTTACTAAAGATACATATTATAATTTTAGGAAGAGGTATTATTAACTATATTTTAAACTAGACATTAATTAAACTATTTTGCCGATTTATAGGATATATTTTCTGGCTATCCAACAAAAAAAAACAAGATGTGTTTGTGAAACACTAATGCGCCGTATGGCTACACAGCGAGGTTTAAACTTTCTCAAATGTTGGTACCCCCCAAATAGAGGCCTTAGTTTTTAATGGTGTTTCAAACTCCAGAGTCAAAAGATCCAATTGGTGGTATCCAATGGACGTTCTTAACAAAAACTAAAAATGTGAAATATGTAAGTCCCAGCACCAAAGGTTGAAAAGGTATAGACAAAGTAAAAGTTTGGTATTTTTGTTTGAAAATGTGTCAAACCCCAAGTCAATGTCAAGGAATACGTCTTTGAAATATGAAAGTCACTCTCCAACTCAAGTATGGACATGGTTAAAGTTTTTGCAGACAAACAGACAGACAGCTAGACAGACAGACGGACAAGGCACAAACTATATAACCCCGAATCTTCGATTACGAGGGACCTGTCACGGTAGCCTAGTGGTAGAGCGTACGCTTCGTGATCGGGAGGCCCAGGTTCGATTCTCGTTCGCGGCGCCGCGTCAGACCTAAGACGTATACATAGGTAGTGACCGTTCCTTCGATAAACGCTCGACATTAGAAGTGAAAGTCACGGGTCTTTCGGACGTTGGTCCCGTGTTACAGTAGGCGCTGCCATGAACCCTCACTGCTCAATGGCCCTGAGTGCCGAGTATAGTTCTAAATTTGAATCTCCTCAGATGAGTTTCATTACATTTTAAAGTGCAACTCGCTACAAACAGAAAGAAAACTTTGCTTAACAGAAAAACACATAAAATTCCAGAATATAATTAGTTTTAAAAACATTATGAACAACAATAAACACTGCGTTCTAAGAAAATTGTGCTCCTTTGTAAAGAAAATAAATAAAATATGCTCCCCGGCCTAAATTCCCATACTTCACATTTATAGTAACCTACAATTTTTTTTTGTTTTTGTTTAGTTTGTTACTCACGCATGCCTTTCTAGACCTATTGTTGTATATAAAATCACCTATATGTTTTTGTAGTCTCTGTACGCTGTTGTAAAATGGTGAAGAGATTCAAATAAATGATTGACAGTCACCGGCAAACGGTGACGTCTCCATATGAGTGAAAAATTCTTGAGTGGTGGGTTAAAGGATATACAATCAATCAATCGATTATGAGGGCAAAGAAAATCCTGTTCATGAATAGCACACTTTAACAAACAAAAATCCATGTAGAATCAAGATAGTTTCTATAATTTTGACATTATTTTGATTGATTTTCCTTCACAAACACCGTATTAGCTCTCGTTTAATTTGAATAGATTGACAAAAATTACTCTTGTCAAAAACATTTTGGTTGCTTATTGTTTAGTTCAAGAAATAAAAATACCACAGCTAGCTTGCATGAAAAATACAAATTTCAGAAGCTAATTAGGTAACATCGAGAATGCCACGCCTTACTAAATGTCCAAACTAAGCTGGTAATGGTCCTAATGGTTATTCAGATTAAAATTCTCTGACAACTGCGCCAATGAAAATATAAGAGTTTGATATTTTAAAACCAAAATTTCGACCTACTTAAAAAGAGAGCTTTATTTTTACAGAAAGCAACTTAGCCATGCTAAAAAAGAAATCAACAGTCCACACTGTCCACCATAGTCCGATAAATGGATATCTGGAAACCAGATTGAATCATCATGATATTAAGAGAAATTTCAAATTTCTGAAACATCAAATGGAACCAGATATTTTAGTAGATTATCTAGTAGAACACAATATTTTGAACACAGATGAAAATTCAACTCTCATTGGAAAACCCCGAGCAATGAAGTGCGACTTCATTCTACGAAAATTATTGGAGCATCCAAGACATATGAAAGAATTAACAACAATGATTAGAAGTGATCCCCATGAGGAATGTTTTCATTGTTTTTTATCCCTTCCACGCCTGAACGCTTCATTTATTGAAAATCCGCAAACTGTCGCAAAAGGTATGGGCATTTTTTGGTCAAAGTTTTATAAATTGAAAATACATGTTAGGCAAGATAAATTTATGATAAATATTGATTTCCATATAAATAAATTCTATAAAAAAAATACTTAATTTGAAATTAATGATTCTTCTTTTATCTTTAAGTTACAAATTCGGCAAATTTGGAGCGAATATTAAATCACAATAAAGATGGACTTCTGAGTGAAATTCGTACGAGGATATCAAATGAAAGTGACTGTATTGTGGACGATTTTCTGGCAGAGGATGTTCTCTCAGTTGATGATCATATCGAAATATCAGCTGAAATAAATAAATCAAAAGCAGCTCTTTTGCTTTTGAGTCGAATCAAAAGAACATTACCAGAATCATACCTAAAGCTGCTTACAGTTCTGAAATCGCATAATTTGACAGATCTTGCTGATCATCTGTTGAGAGAAATAGACAACAACGACTTTCAGCAAGCAGGTATCAAATACTTTGTAACTTTTTCTAGAAGAAAGAGACGCTGAAAAATGGATCTTATCTATTTGATTACCAATTTTTTTTAAAATTGCATCTCATACTGTGAAATCACTAATTTTCGTGGGGGGTTTAATTTTTGTGGTATGGAGCACGAATTTTTGTCCACCACGAAAAGCAATTTTTCACATATACAACTACTAAACAATTTTACAACCACAAAATCAAATTCACACGGACCAATATACCCCCCCCCCCCCCCCCCAAACCACGAAAATTTGGACCATCAAAAATATATGATTTCACAATAAATGTTTTTCATTTTCAGAAAACGATGAAGAACTCAAAGTTGATTTTACTGGTGGTGAGATGCATTGTTCCATGACAGGTATATTTTTTTTCATTAGGTAAATAATATCTAAATGAAAATCATTGACCAATAAATAAACATTACAAAATTAAAAAATAATTAATGATATTGAGCAATATACTAATATGCAGCGATTTTTATGATAACAACATGAAGTAGAAAGTGCCTGTTTATTTTAACCTCAAATGTCTTTGATTGCGAAATTAAATAATACAGAAATGCATTATTAAACCAAATACATGTACACACATCTAATTATAGATTTATGTCGTATCAATTTTATTTGTTTCTTTTCAAGCCCCTGAAATGGAAGTTAGAAAAATCAAAATGATTATCACATGTGATGATGGAAATGAAAGAATACTTGAGAAAGTGATAAAAGAAATTCCAAAGTCTGAAGAAATGTTTGCTGGAGAAACACATATAACTTTCGACAAAATATCCTTAGGATCTATTATAATTATTCTTCAAACAGAGTCACCCTACACAAAAGAAAGATTAAAATATTTCATCGAAAAAGAAGGAATATCGACGTTTTTGAAACATCTGTTTAAAGCAAGGGATATTCGAAAAATTCTGACCAGAGAAAAGTATACCATAGAAGTTAAGATCAGCGAAGCACAAGACGAAACAGGTATATTTTACGTGATTAAAGCAATAATGAATAAACCAGTTATGTTATGCCTGATGCATTAGTATATCCTTTTGTTCTGTCAAATTTCTATTTCATTTTGCAGATGTGCTGTAATAAAGTTTAAAAGTACTATTTCGGGAATGAGTTAAGCAATATTTATGATTTTTTGTATTCTTTTTATTCCAGAACAAATCACTGATGTTTTAAAATCAGCGAAAACGTCTGTAATAACGTACAGGTCGCGTTTGGAAAGATGCCACAGTTTTCTTATGGAAGAGCTAGAGCCGCGATGCTTGCTAAAAGACCACAAAGTTGCTGACATTTTTGGTCCCGTTTTAGAGAAGATGAACCAACCAAATTTGAGAACTACAAAAGTTAATGCATTCTTGGAATATCTCAAAAATCAACCAGAGGAGAAAATTCAGATCGTCTTAGAAAAACTGAGAGAAAAAAACAAATACATTTATGACCAGCTATTTCCAGACACAACGAAATATCAAGATATTGGTAAAATATACGGAATATTTCTTTGAAAAAAAAAAATGAAATTAACGAACATAGAATGTTATGTTTGTATTACGACTATATGATCATTAAGTATTTATGTATTGAATAGTTTTCATATGTCACAAACAGACATCTATATTTATACCCACGCTTGAAAACTGGGAGGGTATATAGTAATCGGTACGTCCGTCCGTCTTTCTAGCTGTATGTCCGTCAGTTACGCTTTGTTACATATTGCCATTGCGCACTTATTTTACTTTTTGATCCAACACATATTTTGGGTTTCCCATAGTAAAACATGGACACTGCCATTATATTCATATGGGAGGCCGGGGGTATCATTTAGTAAGCTCATTGCTCTAGTTTTTATTCTTAATGCAGAAATGTGCATGCAAGAGCTTTTATCAGTTTTAACAAAATATTGAGATTCATAATTTGAAAAGGAATTAAACTTTAATGGTAAAACTTTATTTTTTATGATGGTTTCATTATCAAACATATCTGGAAATCCATACATACCAAGTAATAGGAGTGCTTGTGTGTTAGTTAAATCCATACATGTTGTAATTTTCAGATATTGAACAAATCAAAGGGACTATTTTTGACAGTTTATCAGTCCTACTGGATATTACCAGCATTCGTGCTATCCAAACTCCTTTTCTTAGTGCTGGAATCGTCTCTTTAGAAGATATTGCCTTTATACACAAGAGCTGTGAAAGTGATGCAGTTTTGCAGTTTTTGAAATTGGTTTTACATAGAGGAGCCGAAGCGATTAGAATTTTTCTGTTAGCTCTAGAAAGTTCTTGTGGAGAAAGTGCAGTCAAAAATCTTTTGCAGTCAAGAAATATCCAAATGCCAAGTCCGAGTAAGCTTGAAAAATGTCATTAATATATATTTATATATAAAATAACAAGTGGGATAAATAAAAGCTTGCAATTAAGTAGATTTGAAATAGGAATCTCCTGCTTAATGTAGTGAGTAAATGCAGCATGAATGCAGCAAACCTACCATGATTGAATAAAATCCACTTTTGTTAACCGATATGAGTACATGTATTTATCAATTAACTAAAAGGCACGTACTCAGATATTAAAAAAACGAAAGATAAATAACTTCTTTGACACTATTGAAACAGCATTTTAATTTATGCACTATCTCTCAGATGAAGGACACCAAGCAAAAATAAATTACAAAGCTTTCAGCGCAGAAGACGGATTGTTGTTTAAAGGAAAATTTGTATTAGAACTGAAGACAGGGAATATGTTAAAAACTTTACAAAGAGGTAATGTACATTTTTAATTTTGAAGTAGTCATACTTATATTGCAAAATAACAAATTCAAGATAAACCTGGGATTTTCAAATTTTACATCTAGTTTATTCGAAGGTTTTGTTTTACAGGCGACAGTATGAAAAAAGACGAAAAAAACATTGCTTCTGAAGAAGAACGAAGAACAAAACATAAAATTTCAGAGATCAAATCCGATTACTATGTAAGTAATTTATTTTTATCCTATTATATTTTTTATTTTTAATTCATTTATTGCTTTTAAGACTCTGAACTAGTGACATTAAACTAGCAAAGAAAATATCTTTAAATAATCATCGAAACAAGCGAAAATGTAAATAATTTATACCCTATATTGGCCCCATCCTTCCCTTTGGGTTTTATAAAGTGAAGAAAATGCCTAAATGAAAATCCCTTTAGGAGGTCAGCATAGTAAAAAGGGATATCAGAGACCTGGTCTAACGGGTCACATGCCAAGGTTAAAGTCAGGTTACTTCACCTCCTGGGCGAGGTCGAGGGTTAGAAATTCAAAATCATAGAGGATGATATTCGCAACTCAAAACAATAAAGCACAACTTACATGTGAAATAGAGGGCACTTTATAGTCTTCAGACAACCAGGTTAAAGCTCCTTGTCGGGATCGTTATGATTCGGTTGGTATTTTTAAGATTTTATATACATCATCCATTGCTTGTAAATTCAAAGTTATTTGGTTATCTTTAATTACAGGCATTGATACCCCAGTTTTCAGAAAACCATGGCGATAATATATCATTAGAGAGAGATGGTTCCTTGAATTGTGTTAAAGCCCAATGGAAATTTACAAAATCATTCGGCCATGCCTTTTCTGATTTTCCGCTCCGAGACGACCGGATGTATGAGGCCATTTTTCACGGAAGTGGACATGCAAGCATTGGGCTGACGCAGACTGATCCAGATCACTTGAGTGATATGCAACAAGCTGTCAGAAACAATCAGATAATTTTGGTTACCGACGTTCGGTTTCACAAACGAGACTGCAGGGTAGATATCGTGAAAAAGACAGAGGATAGAAGAGCGTTTGTGTTTCAGACGAAGTACAAAGATTCCGCTCCACAAGAGAAGACTTTGATGCCCGGTGCTGACGTATGGATAGTATTCTACCTAAAATTTGGAGAGAACATGACAGCAGAAATAATAGGTAAACAACCAAACCCATGCATGTACATTTCATGCGTCAATGGACGTGGACGATTGAAATTGACATGACAGGCGTTGTGTAATTTAAATCTATTAGTCTACCTTTTTAGAATATAGATTTATAATATCATTTCACCATGAAATGGAATTATATTAAAGAATCGCTGTCTAGTAAGTAGAATACCGGTATGCCAAGAACATCAACGATATATGGAAACCTGGGATAATTTATGCACAACGGGTTTCGCCCGTTATGCACATTATCCTAAGTTTCCATATATCGTTGATGCCTTGGCATACTCTACTAACTAGACAGTAATTCCTTAAAAATCCCAGCCGTTACTAAATGACTAATCCAAGTCGATATGAAATATTTTTAGCTGTTCCCTTGCCAAGCACTCGCCACTATGGAGTTGCGGGTCCTTCATATGGGGCCTTAAAATTATAATTATGTGGATGTACATCCTGGGTGGTGTAAATTCTACATTGTTCAAATCAAGACCCCGTGTGAGGGGTAGGGCGGGGCCACAGAGGAAATCCAAGTTTAACTTTGAAATGTAAAGGAAAAATCTTGATAAAGCTTCTTTTCCAGAACCACTATTCCTGACAAGCTAAAGCTGAAACTAAGATGAAAGCATTCTGGGGTGGTGTAGATTCTACATTTTGTTTAAATCTTGTCCGGGAGGGGGGAGGCAATGGGGCCATATAGGTACTAGTATTACAAGCAGATAATCTGGTTAGCAGCATGACCAAAGTTACTGAGGTAAGCGTTGTTGCCCATAGACCCTGTGTTCAGTGTTTCATATAATTGTGTTTAATATTTAAGAGAAGCTTAAATTGATACTTTCAGATAAAGACACCAAGGCAGCTTTGCGATTCCACAGAAAAGTTGACAGAAATATTGATTTACAAAACGAAAGACTTAAGGTATCTCTGTTGTTTCCAGTTCCTCTCGCTTACGCAGTCCTAGAACACAGACTGGAAAAGCGTCATTCCGTGCGTGTCAAAACAGAGCACATTAACGCTAATGAAAAACCAAGGCTTTATCACATCAAAATAGGTATCTCCAACAGCGATGCAAATGTGTCCAACAATTTGGAATTCTGTCCGAACATTGTAACGAAATTAGAGAGAGAGATTTGCATAGGTGAATTTGATATATGCTTGTCACCAGAAGGGACATTTCATGTACGTAAGGATAATAGATGTATCTTCACAAAAGCGATTTCTTCTGAGATGAATGTTGATTTACCGGTGTATGTCTGGTTTGAAATTTTCCGCATCCGGTTGGAGGCAAAAGAAACTATGTACTGTACCCATGACTCAGAGCCAATAGAAAATCCTAGGGAAAGTGTCAGGGGTATCACGCCGCCATATGCCAAAGTTACAGTAAACGAATTATTGAGAACCTTAAAAGGCATTGATAAGGAGTTGGAAACGGGAAAATTTACTGTCGAAGTTCAACAGACTTTAACTGAGGCTACGAATGAAGTGGAAAAATATGTGAACTTTTTCTCTCTTGGATCTTCAAAAGCAGACAAGGAGGTTTATGACGAAAAGGACGGATACATTACACCCGTTTCTAAAACAAAATCTTCATCAAGTTCTGGAAGGTTACCTATTGAGCACGAAGATGAATCGCCCGATCAACCTTCACTTAGAACTTTACAGCGGATGTTAATTCAAATTGAGAAAACCGCCAAAGCCCACTTTTATGAAAGACAAACTTCTCTTGATGAACTGATGATTGCAGTAGAGACAAATCGCGCCAAAATAGAGGAAGTCCAAAGGTCATTCGAGAACGTCAGCATACAACAACCATCTCCCATTAGGTTTGAACCCGGTTCCTTCCAAACACATTTGACAAAAAATTGTGCGCAGTTTATACAAACTGTGGAAGTTTTTCCACTTTGTGATCACTTACTTCAAGACGGCATCATTCATCGGGAACAATATAATTATATTTTTGATGAACACAGACGGCAACGCATCGACGCAAGTAGAACATTATTTCATC